GTGTTTTTTGACCAACAGTAATAAAAAGGACTTGGATGGGAACCAACTGGAGTATGGGATTGGCGATTAGATTTGCCGCGTTGCTTGTTAAGCTATGTCCACCGATATTATACGAGCTAGGTACGTTAATCGAGAACCTTGTAGCGATGCCATGCTGTCGTTGATGCACGTATAAGATGTAGATTAAATTACGCTGCATTACGTAATTATTACGTTTTTGGAAAACGCGCCTTCGACGTGGCGCTCTCTAGTGATTTAATTGACATTTTCGGAGAACAGTGGCGTAACACGAAAAATGAGGCAATGCGTTAAAACAAAAATAAAATGGCGTAGACATCATAGTTCCCCACAAATGTAAACCATTATTTGAACACCAATTCATAACGTTTGCTATGTTTTGCTGTAAAATTTCACAATCGTTGTTAAGAGTCAATTTTTAGAAATAATTTGATGTCATCAGCGAAGAGAAGTTTTTCACATGATGCATTTGTTATATCATCTATGAAGAATAGAAAAAACAACGGTCCTAAATTGGACCTTTGCGGGATTCCAGAAGTAGGCTTAGTGATATCGGATTGATAGTTATGATATGATATTTGAGATATTGCTCACGGTTGAAAAAGTACGAACGAAATAGCTGTATAAGAGCATCTGAGAAACCAAATCGTCTGAGTTTATCAACCAATATGAAATGATCGATTTGATCAAAGGCTTTCTTGAAGTCGAGATAAATGACGTTAATTTGTTTTAGATCATCTGTCGCCACGGAAACATATTGCGTAAAGCAGGCAAATTTGAAATTGTAGAGCGTTTCTCCATAAAGCCATGTTGGTACAGTGATAACACGTTTCTTATAGAGGCATATATGTATTTATATATAACTGACTCAAAAACTTTCGCGAAATTACATAAGAGAGATATAGGTCGATAGTTAGTGATGTCAGTTATGTCGCGTTTTTTTGAACACTAGGCAAATGGTTGCTTTTTTCCAGATTTGACAAAGATACAGGCACAATCTCTTAAGAGAAAACTTGGTTTTCCATCATGACCCATAGTAAATCATAGTTAGGGAATTTGTGCAATTTTTTAAAGCGAGAAATATGTCATTTTCGGACATATTGATAATGTTTACGAAGACCGACGAGTTATTATTGACGTTAGTTAAAGTTGAGTTTGAATTGGAGATCTTATAGACATCATTAAAATATTTAGCGAAGCCTTCAATAATAGAATCTGGGGTATTTAGTTCAACATCATTATATTTCATTAAACCAGGAATTCTTGAGTGAATGTTCAAATTTTTTTTGGGTCAGTATTTAATTGGTTTTCGATGTGTAGCATGTAATTTTTATTATAAGCAGTACTCATTAAATTTTTTAGGAGTGATATATAATTTTTGAATACTTATATTGTAATCAGGCACGTAACCAGCCTTTTATTTTGGAGGGGCCCAGCCCGGGCACTAATTTCAAATAAGGGGGCCTTTAAAAAAAGTGTTCATTTGTATAAATCAACATTTTACTTGAATCACAACCAGTATATAAATTTAATGGGGTGCAAATAGTTGAAATTGACCAACACCATGAGAATGCATTTAAAGTCTGCGTACTAATACTGCATAGTGTGTAAAAGGCATATCAGTTGTACCGGCTAATTGCTTAAAAAAGTTATCGACAAAACTGTTCACAGCAGTATCGCATTACTCAGAGAGTTATATTACAAGATAAGAACATAAGACTACTCACAGATAAAATTTACTTTTGACCTGAAATTTCGAATTTTCTTTACTTTTAAAATTTAAAATTAATTTAAGGGGACACCAGGGTGGCACAGGGTTTTGCAGGGGTGGCCTGTGCCCCCCCAGGTCCCCCCTTGGTTACGTGTCTGATTGTAATAATGATCTGTTCAATAATTTTTGAATCTACGGTGAGCGAAAGATTTATTGTCTTGAATATATTTTTTTATTTCGGAGTCAAACCATGGAGGGTAGCGTTTACGAGTGCCAAATGTAAAGCGGTATCAAGTATCCTGTTCAAAGTGTCATTAAACTGGCAGTGTTCTACAACCTGAATTTTTAACACTTATTTTTGAAATATGACTCTCACAGCGGAATGTGTACCAAAACCACTTTATTTTTATTTCGACTGTATTTAACATGTGTCTGTTGTGTTTATTTCAATGTACTTTGTTTTTATATGATTTGGGGGTCCTGTCCGCGATGTAAACCTGATATAATTAGTAACCTGAGCTGACTCATATTTTGACTTCGTTGTTTTAAAATCTTATTACAGTGTCAAGGAAAGCTTACCTGTTCCTTTCTCCGCAGTTTCAGTTCAAGCATTTCTTCGTCATCGTATAACTTCGGAAGTACATATTCCAAATTAATACAAACAGAAGTATGAATGCATGTCGACGTACATAGTTTTTGTAACTGGTTCTCAACTTTGCACGTTTCAGAATGTTTATCAACAATAATTTACTAAATACTTTTAAGTTTAGTTTAGGGGAGGGAAGTTGTGGGGAGCAGTAACAAGTATGGCGTAATTAAATTTTGTTGCTTTTTTGGTATTTATTGTGTACCAATCAGTCTAGATTCTCCAGAATATCAGAATTGAACTTTAATAAGGATAAATGCACAGAATGGGGTATCGGAAGCGGAATCCAAGTTGTTAATTTTCATCTCATTGTCATTGTTAATGTAAATATTTATTTGCCATACTGCCACCGTGAAGCAGACACCTTCTACGTCTCCTTATGGGTAATGGAGTCTAGCCTTACAAAGCTTGTTTCGCGGCTTTTGCCCTCCCTTAAAAGAGAAACTACTAAATATTTCAGTTCTACTCACCTTACCAAAATTCAGTAAAAGATGTTGCCTTTCTACACTCTTCATGCTCCGCAGAGGGTTAATAAACATGGCAGAACGCATTCCGCCATTTCGAAACATAGCGTGGGTCCCATGTTCTTGATGATCACAGCTCATGGCCAACTTTAAACTTTTCGCGGGTTTTTCAAAATTTTGTGCGCATGTCGCAATTTTGGCGGAATGTTTGGGTAATCATAAGTTTATATATATATACATAATGCACAAAACTTCGTAAGGAATTAGCTATTACCATATTCTTATATATCTATATGGAAGTATTTTCGCAGGTAACAGTTTGAGGAAATCTTTCCAAGTATAACTTGGGAGGTCTTTTGACGTCATTAGTAAAATTTCTGAGGGTGCTCTTTTGTTTGTCGGCTCAAATTTAGTAGAGGATTATGGAACAAGATCGTTATCTAAAACACCCCTAAAGGTTATAATAGAGTTATTTTTGAGTTTCATTACCAGCAGCAATTTCGAGCTCTATATAAGGATAGAAAGCTTAATTTTATACGAAAAAAGTACAATGTACTTTTTAAGTTTTCCAAGCGCTAAGACCCTTTGGGATCACACAAAACATCCACTTGACGGTGCATTATCCAAATTGAATCTGTTTGAAGGGGAACAAACGGTGTTAAGCTTTGTTGAGCGAAAAGGAGGGTGATTTTTTACGGTGTTGTAGAATAAAACCCTACAGAAAGGGGTGAACCGAATTTGAAGCCCATAGAAACAATGCATTAACAATACTGAAGAAAATGCGAATAGGTATACAAAAAACTAACTAAATAGATAATTAATTAGTAATAATGTTAATGAACTACTATTCTGAATATTGTTTTATTCATTACTAAGTTAGGTATATTTTTTAACGTCTGTGTGTCTAGGGATCAACGCTAATATAATTACTTAGTTGTAGCAAATAGTTACCTTTATACTTTCTATTAAAATATTATTGTAATTAGATTTGTGTGTCAAGAATCTGTCTGGTGAGCGTAAACCTGAAGTTCTGATCAACTGAAAAGAGGGTACAGCGTAGAGAAGTTTCAGTCTAAAATGACTGGAAATTCCAGTGTGAATCATGTGATTTGCGCACTTTGTTTAATTAGTTTTTTAACGTGTATTTTGCTTATTTATGTCAATTTTACTTTATTGACTTGATATTATTTCCTATAGATGGTAAAACGCCAACTACAACTGACGGTCTATTAATCTCCTCAAAAAATCTAACACTGTGTCATGCCCATGGATTTTTCTTTTTGGTTTAACAAACACCAATTTTTAACGGAATTGAAAAAAAAATTCGTACACGTTTTACGACTTTTCTTTCAAACTTCCACATTATTTCACAGAAAACCAATACTGATTTGGGAATTACCACAAAAACTATCCTTTGGAAGGGACAGGGGTCACAAGTTCTCCCACAAATTATATATAATTAAATATTTTTTAATTCGGAACGTAATACATCGTGTTAAAACGTATGCCGCCTTTGTATTTGGTCATTTGTTAAATGATTATTGCAGTGGTAAACTGTTTACTTAAAAATATACCGTAGCAATGTCCAGTCCATTCTTCTCAGTTTTTTTTGCATCTTTTAACACATCAATTTATCAAAAATAATTACAATTTGATTTTTGTTACTCTTTTCTTACCAGATATTTTGAAGGACTGTTTTTGGAACTCTTACACTAAAGCATTGGTAACCAATAAGTCTTAAATGCAAATATGGGCGAAGATATCTCCATGAACAGTTCACTTTATATGCTGGCGACAGATTAAATGCACATTTAAACATCGTAAAAGAATCATTACGAAAAGTATTGAAAGCTATACTAGTGATGGGTCAAATGCTTCAGAATGAGAATAAACCATGACAAGGTAATTTTCTTTCTGGAGAAAAAATGTTCAGCGCAATGTAATAAGAACACATGTAGCATCATATTGATGAAAAAAAGTATAGTATTCAAGACTAAACACCAATTTTAAATAGTTATGACCTTACTCTTTTTTCTTGAAAGTTAAATAGCAACGAATCACCCTTGTTAAAGACCCATAATTTTGTAATAATGTTGTACAATTTATAAATGCATAATTTAAGGATTCTCTTGCTTTTAGGTGAAAAGACCAAGGAAGCGCGTTCAAGCCTTGGATAGACTGTTTATTAATGCCAAATACACCTATTCGACATTGAGTCGTCGGTGTGCTTCTACATCAGCATAGATGTACATTCTCTGACAAAAAAGGCAACATTTAGTCATATAATAGAGAAAACATACTAAAATATTTAATAAATCCTATGCAAGCTTTACAGTTATAAATCTATGTTACATGCAGATATCTCTATGTTACATTAAGTTTACAAATGGTTCAGGCCCAAATCACATTAATAACTATTATCGTAAGAACATTGATAACTTGTACGAACATGAAAATGTGGTTTAAATATTTATATCTTGGTCCAACTAACACGGTTGTGGCAGGTTACTTAATGCAGTCAGTATGTGCAGTCAGAATTTAGTAACATATAGTTCTGAATTACCCCATTATTGAAAAGTTAAACTAAATCGGGAATTCAGAAAATATGGACGTCACAAATAATCACAAAAGTCATGTACCCTGCTAATGTTTCCAATTACCACAGTTTAAACCCAACTATACCAAAAAGTAGAAATACACCATTTCATCTCAACCAATTCCCGTGATACGGCGCAAACAACTCGAATTTACAAAAATCAAACAAAAGGAATTGTTTGCGTAATTCGTTAAAAACTGGATATCATCATCGAAATAAACTTATGAAATGATATGTCGGTTACTACGCTAAGAAATCATCCCATTAGCAGTATACAACTGATCTTTAATTTCGTAGGACCAATTTTCCTAAATTTTAATACATTTTCTAATTTTGCCTACATATTATAGTACTTTAAAAGTTGCATTATAAGCTTATAAATTTCATAGTATTAAAGTCTCAAAAAAATAATCTTACAAGTACACTCTTGCAACGTGCGGTTACAAGTGCGTACGCTCTTAAAAATTATAATGTTCAACTCCTTACAGGATTGTCTAAGAATTACGGGAATCATTAAGTGCAAATAGTTTGATGAAGGATATCTTTCAACATTACAATTATTTTTATTGAAAACAGCTAATAGTAGTAGGTATTATGACTGACATACACTACATGATCAATTCTAATTTTGTTTAAGATAAAAAACAGCAGTGTTAAATTTTTAGTAGTTTTCTTTTAGTAAAATTGTAACCATCTTATACAATTTTTTTGTACTTAAATAAATATAAATCACCCATGCTTAAATAGTAACTGAAATATAATTTCATTAACGAATTTTATCAGCATCAATTACGATAAATAATTTCGAATCACAGAAGATTTAATTATTACGAAATATTCCAAATGATCAAAATAGTTTTTTTTTTTAAATTTCAACCTATATACATACACATCATAAATATACATTTACATATTTAAACAATGTAACATGTTTGTACTATTCATCATTTTGTATTTGTTGAACAAAGGGCTAAAATCCGTTAGCGAAATTATATATATAGTCTTAAAAAAATAAAACACCAAAAAAAATCCGACAATCCATATATAAATGGTTACGTTAGGTAGTTAATTAACAATATACATTAAGATTAACTCACTACTACAGCCTATCACCATATAAATTTAGGTGCGTACACCTCTAATTTCGCTATATATTGACATCAAACTACACCAGTCTTGTGTAACACTAATAATATATTAAATCTACAAAAGACGAATCTAGTAATTGCCACTTAACCGTTCACAAACTTTGGGATACGGTAGAACGGTCGAAATGGCAACAACTGCGACTCCATCAAGAATCTATTCTGTAGTGCAGCCTTTAGATCATTAGTAAAAATCTTAAATATTTATTACATATCATATCAGATCGGAAGTGATTACATTTTTTTTTTTGATATTTAGAAAATTTGATCTAATCGCAGAACAGAATTAGAAAAAACTACAACCATTAGAAGCGCTTTTATATTACAAATAATATATATGTGGTAACTAATAGTAATAAAAAAACAATAAACCAACCCAATTATAAGCCGAATATAATGAGTAATAATAACACAATTCAATGTATTTTAATCAATTCTACGATAGAGAGATCGGCTAATTTACTTATATGAGGTACTTTTTAATTATTGTGCTTTTTATTTTGATATTACACAGAACGATCCAACAATACATTAAATCGCATTATCTAATTGTTGTCGTAATTTTACAATTATAACATACAAGTATATTATGTTAGAAGGGAGCAAATACAAAATAGTCAAAGTTTTAAAATTAAAGTTGTACCAATTATATAGGATAAAATGCATTACTTGCATATTATAAGCACATTATATACAACTAAAGCTGATGAAAGATTATAATACTGCAGATATATGCAAACTAACATATCATTTTATAACAATAATAATTACAGGTAGGCCAGTCTTAATAAAATAACCAAAGCATAATATGAAGCAAAGAAATTCGATGATTATTATACACCCAATGGAAATTTTGGCAATGCTACGAGACTACACTAATTCGCTGTGTTCATTTTTTTTCTTTTGTATAAACATTTCACCCTGTGCATTATTAAAAATGAGAATGAAAGCGAGATTTTGTTAACTCAGATCAAAACAAGTGGACTGAATGCCGTTCTTTTTAGATTTCGCTAAACACAGAAAAATTTTTATTGGTTATCACATAATATCTAGTATTAATATTTACAGCTACATAGAACATAAACGTGTCCACTCTACTTTGTCTGAGGTCATAATTAATTTAATAAATCGTGAGTTACTATCAATACAATATTGTTCTGAGAATAAGGCATTATAAAGTCTCAAAACCAACATTTGGCCAACTTATTTATTATTGCAATTAACTGTTAATACTAACTGGAATAATTTTTTTGAAAACTCAAGAAAATAATGAAGGTGACTCCTACACAAGATGAGAAATTCTATGATCACAGTATCAATAAACACATCTATATACACATAATTTGTCAAAAAAAAGGTGAGGAGTGACGAATTTAAAGGAACTAAAGACAAAAAATCTACATCAACATGCATCAACGTGAACATTATGAAGAAAATCTACGCGAAAAACACCTGATTATTATCAATATTAATATACCCAAATCTAATTCTACACAATCCAAAAATATTATTTATTTGTACAACTACCATTAATACTCTACATCTAGAGTTATAGGTATAGTACCGACTACTTCTAAATAAAATATTTTGCCGAAACCCGTAAAAACTACTTACTACCCTAACCAGAAAGTAAAGACATTTTTACGAATTTCCACCCTACATTTAGGCAATTATACGTTATATACAATTAAAATGATTTATTAAATATCACAACTATATATGCCGCAACTCTATTGACGTCAATCCCTGTTGAAAAAACATTTAAGACAGCTAGTGCACACTGTTTTTGTTTTAAACGTCAAACATAGAGTGTACGTCCAAGAGGGTCATACATAATATTATAACAGGCACATCAATTTTTTTTTAACATACCATATGTTAAGTCCTATGGACGTCACACGAATCCCCGTTATAATGGAGACACACAAAAAATATAATACACCATGACTAGTAACTTTTTAGTAGTGATTTCTGGGAATTTATGTGGCGTCCACAAGACCACTTGACACATTTCAAGCTTAAACAAGCTTTCCCACACCTAAAATAGCAAACAAAGCGTATCGAATAATCCAGATGTAGCACAGCCGCTCACTGGAGAACAGAACCTTACAGGGTAAGCGTTAAATTAAAATATAATAAATATACGATAATAAAATGCACATCAACTTAACAACAACTATATACTTTAAGTAATTCCATAAAATACCTAATTTAAATTAGATTGCCTCGGCCTCGGTTCTATTTCATGGAATTAAATAAAATGGAAACAATATATACAACTGATTAACAAGAAAAGTCAAAAGCTTCTTACGTCTAATTGACTAAAATGCTTTAAAGATCAATCATATGAAATATTTTGATATGAAGGCAGTTTTAACGTTTGCAATAAATTAAGGTCGGACACTACCTTTGCATGAAACACTATGCTAAGATACTTTGTTATAATGTAGTTATACCAACTGTTTCTTTATCTGTACATATTTTGAAAGATCACTTTCGTGCAATAAAAAATTAAAGCTAATATATGCCCTTAAAACATTAAAGTATACCTTTCATATAATACTACAAATAAATGAGTGAAAACAGTAAAACTAAAACGTGTAACTCAACTACGGCTGAATATTGTAACTTAACGATTAGTGTACCTGAATATGACAGAATAAAAGCATTGCACATAACATTTAAAATTAAGATAACATTGCATATCAGAACCACCTAAAACTACTTAAATTCATATAAGACACATTTTAAAAGTTACACATAAAATAAAATAAATATTATGCAATATTACCTCGAACCGAACTGTCAACTTTAACGAAAAATTAATAGTAACGCTGAGCTTTGTGGAGATTATTCGGCAAACCACAAGCTTGGAGGTTGGTACTGATGACTTTTGGCGGGACTCAAGGGGGCGAATCCGTACGACGCGGCCGCAACTTGGGATGGAAATTGAAGATGAGCAGGTAGAGGATGACTTGTGTGACTTGCTAATACAGGACGAGCGCTTGAATGGTGGGCTGGCGGAGGCGGCAGGGCGCGACTACAACAAACAAACATAAATAAAGAAAAAAATTCCACTTCTACCAACATAAACGTGAAATTACTTAAAGAAAAAAACGAAACAAAAAGTGTTTAGTTGATAATTTTTGCCTGTTTGTAAAAACTGCAAAACACGAGCCAATCGAACAGGAGGTTTATTATGCAAAAATCAAAAGCATTGTGTTACTGAAATTTTGACAGCAAATTAATCCTTTACAAAAGAAAAAATACTACATAACGTATGCACGACATACATTTTCAATATAACAAAAAGTATCAACTTAACTCCTACTTCTATGAAAATAAACGATACCAACTTAACTCTACTTCTATAAAAATAAACAAGTTACTTAATCTACACTAATATTAAAAAAAAAAAAAATTAGAAAAAGCTCCAATTTGGATTTAACTTTCTTTTCTTAGCGGGAACCTCACTGAAAAGAGAAGGAAGGAAAACTAAACTAATCGAATTCTACAAAGTTAATTTAAATTACTTACCCTGCGGGTGCCACTTGATGGGTGGCCGGTAAATAAGCTGGTTGTGCTGTGGTCACGTAAACGGGACGACGATATAGTTCGGTCTGGTGGTAAAGGGGCTGACCAGCAGCGGCTAGAGGATGTTGGGGCGATAACCTGGGGGCACCAGCCAGCGGCTGGGGCGACAGGTGAGCATTGCTGTGTCTACAACCACACCCAAGCATCAAAATCGATGTTCACTATGTTACTTTGACTAGTTATTTTGAGTTAATACATTTTTTGTAGTCAAGTAACCATTTAAATCAGTAAGATGATGAATTTCAAGTTGATCTGATACTGTCGTGCTGTGGTAAAACAGCGGCGTCTTTTGGATCATAATAATAAAAAAAATAGCATTAAAGACACAGTATCATGATAACTCCTTTTTATATTTACAGTTTTATTCTACATCTCTTTATAAAAAATTTCTCATTTCCACTTCATCAGAATTTTCTTTAAAGTTGGTTCATGAATTGTATGACAAGTTGAAATCATATATTCTTACCCCACTATACTTGAAGCTACTTACGCATCCCACTTAATAATAATAGCGCATGTACTAATTAGTTAATTAATTCGTTTCGCTGAACAAAACCATCGCACTCACCTATAACTTTGATGTATGGCCTGCGGCGGTCCCCAACTCTTCCCTGGAGCTAAAAGGTGTTGTTCCCTTGCCACAGCCAGGTTATCTCTCGTCGTATGCGCCGCTGGAGGCTGTATATACTCCTTATGAGTCTGAGTAGGTATATTATACTCCCTCAAACTCACAACTGGAACAGCTGAGTGTCTCCGATGCCCTCCGTGTGAACTCGGATTGTGTGCGACTGGAGGTGCCCAAGATACCCTTTTGTCGCTCGACGTGTACACGACGGGCTGTTGATCTTGGACGCTGCCGTGACCAGATGAACCACCATTACCGTAATGATAACCTTGGATGGGTTCTTTGCAAGCTGAACTACAATGGGACTGCTGGGGGATGTTGTAGTCGTTCGATCGATGGTACTCGATTCCCGGCTCTTGCTTGGTTGGTACGTTCAACATACACTCTGACTGTGCCTTGGCTAGAAGGCGCTTTTTCTGCGAAACGGACGCGTAGTTCGTGGTAGTGGGCGTTGGTTCGTTCTTTATCACTTGCTGTTGGTAAGCCTGAGACGACTGATGCTGTAATTATTTTCATAGTATACAAACAATACTTAACCTAGGTATGGTTAGTGTGAGATTTTTTATCGGGACGTTTTGATTACGAATTTTGTGTATTTTCGTAATTGTTGTGTTATTTTGATTTAAAATTGCAGATACGTAGAGATGAATTATTTTAAGTTCAGCATGGTGAATCATCAGAATCTAACAACGGACTGTCAGTCAGTTGCGTAACATGCGCACTTCAGAAGGGGGTGTTTTTTTAAATTTATTGTTTAAATCGCAAACAACACAGGGAAATACTAATCTAAATAGGCACCCTTATGCAGGTAAAAAAGTTCACGATGACGGACGCCTCTAAGGGTGCGCCCACCCCTTAAATTTGAAAGTGGACTTTTCCCAAGACAAATACGCATCGCATGCGGCCATTGTTATGGCCGCTGAATTCTAACCTATAACATTTCAAAACGGTCCCAGACAAATGTTTCTGTGAAAAATATACAGCGTATGTGACACATTTTTTTCATACTTGTAAGGTAACAGTCATTTACACTCTTCCAGACTTTTTGCCTTAAAATTCAAAACTACTACTTCATTGGCGTTACAGATATTTGTGTTTATTTTTAAGCACACGGACAGTCTGCACGCGCATCGGGGATTAGCTTTTGGGAATAATTAACTTTTTGGGGTTGGCGGTGTCATTATTGTCGTGTCATATTTAGTGTCTACTTATCATAATTTTTCGTTATTATTAGTTCAAGTCGTTTAGCGCGTTTGTTTAATTCATCGTTATTTGTTTACAACACGGTTGTTTTCAGAAGAAATAAATACAAACAGTGTTTCAGTAAATTTAATTGTTAGCAGGTACATAATAAATAACAAATACATATTTCCAAAAACAAAATTTGGAATCGATCGTTATTGTACACATTGTATAGTTTTGACAAAAACTTAACGAAAGTAATTTTTGTAAATCTTTGGGTATGTGGGTTTTGTTTGTTCTTCTATGTATTTTGATTCCAAATCGTTTAACTTAATATCACAAACATTTCACTTTGACAAGAGGTTTAACTTCGGTTTCTCTCTCTTCACTGAACTTTTCGTTGCCTCGTCTTCCACTTGATGCCTCTTCCAAAAGTGGGAGAAACGTCGAAACCTTTCTTAAATTTCAAACGGTTGAAATCCGAAAAACGCCGTGAAAACCCCTAATCCATTTCAAAAACCTCTACAGGGAAGGTATCTCTCAAAAATCCCTTCAATTTCCAAAATCCTCTCTCGAGAACCAAACTTTGTCGCCCAAGATCTTCGCTCGCTTCATTTAGAACTTTTAAACACCCTGAGCCCAAGTGACTGATCCCTCTTTGACACAATCACTACTCCCACGTATTATGTATAGACTCTCTATACCACACATAGAATTCGAAAACAAAATTTCTCGTCACATCACTTATCTCAATTTCAAACTAACCCCCTTTCCGAAGGTCTTAACTTCTCATTCGCCCCCAGTAACATCAGTACGATACAGGTCAGGTCAGGTCATAGAAGTCATCGAATCCTTCGACAACCAAAAAATTCTAGCTAAAATGCCGCATTACCATAATAGGAAAATTCGACACACAAACACCCCAACAACATAACTTTATATTAGTTTCCTTCTCCTCTATTTGTAAACACTGCACACGATTCAAACCCGACAAACGTCTTTATATCTACTAACTCGACATCTTATGTGCAACACAGTGCGCAAGCGTAGAACAACACCAAATCATTGGTATTTGAAAGGGTAAAGTGTAACACCAAATGTTATATACAACTGATGCTACAGCTTTTGTTCACTCTTTAGTTGCCACTTTTTGAATTCAATATTTGGGTGCGACCAATAAAAAACATTCTTTTTTCTTAACCACACCTTATAGCATATAAAATGAAATTGATTTACCACACAAGATATAACACAAAATGAGTGGGTTTTATAAACAAATATTTATTTCACATAATACCTAACACTACCATTTTCAAACAATTTAAAAAAATAATTATATATCAACAAAAAACGAAAAAAAAAAATTCATTGTTAAGTACGGTGGTTCGTGTTCAACGCAAAATAACACGACAATTACAACTTAGTAAAAACATCATTATCTAGTAGCAAAGATAATTTAATAATATCCACAATACGAAATGGTTCCTTCAAACCTTTTCACGTGTAAAGAAATTTGTTTCTTACTTAGCCAAAACATAACACATAAAACAACTTAACCATACAAGGCCGCTTCCAATTCCAAACAACTTTCATCTACCGCTTCCAATTCTACACAACTATCATCTATGTTGCCCCAATGGAAACTCACCTTTGAAGAACTTCTGTCTTCATTATCACTATCTGGTACAGATACGCAACTTATCACATTCTTTCTATTACTAACAGTTGGCTGAACTGCATTGTTTTGGACGACCCTTGTGGACTTCTTACCGGGTGTCCCTTCATCTTCGCTATCTGATATGGTGATAACAGATACCGCTGGCGACGGAGTATCGTTGATAGTAATCGTATGTTGTCTACCGTGCGGCTGTATATGGTGGTGGTCATGCGTATTAACCTACAACAATCACATTAAAATCCATACAACATTTCCCACACAAAAAACTACCTGCGAATGTGATGCGTGCTGCCAGTGATGTCCGTTGGTATTCGGACTGTGGTTCCTCCTGTTGCTTCCCGAATAACTGACTTGCTCAGACGGAGGCGTGCTCTCTTTAACCCGCTTCTTGACTGGACTCAACTGGGTTTGTTCTTTCTTATCATGCTGTGATCTGTGGTGCGTGGGAACCATTAAGTGGTGGTGACTATGATGCGAATTCGTTTGCTGCATGTGATGGTTCTTCGAACTCCTTTTGCTGGTTCCCCAAGTGCTGCCAGTGTGATCCACGATGGCCGAATTGTAAACTTCGGTAGCGACGTCGACCGGAAATACTGGTCTCTGCTCTTGTAAAATCGCAGACGAATCTACGAGGAGAGGTCTGCCCCATTCTGCTTCAGACAACAGAGGTTGTTGAATGGCAGCGTGCTGTGGGATTTGTTGCCACGATGGGACGATGGCCATTTGCTGACGGTTGGTAGGCCATGATGTTTGTACGGCGTTCTGGAAAGATAGTACATGGTAATCAAGTTTCAGTGATAACTATAGACTTATTAAAGATCCACCAATACTGAAAAATCACCCCAAAAGTGTCAAGTGAATTAGTGAAGAAATTGGAAATTTACCGTGAGCAGCATTTGTCTTCCGGTTGGTTCAACCACGCTGACTGGTACATATTGTTGTTGTCCCGGTTGACTCAAAATGGGTTGCTGGATCTGTAAAGGTGGTTGTTGGACTACAGTCACGTGTTTGGCTGGTGAACCACCCATGCCTTGATAACCAGCTGGACAGAGTATGCTTGATACGAGTTGGTGTTGGAATGGATCCGCCCTACTACTTGTTGCATATTGGCGGCCGACTGCTCGTCCGTTGTAGATTTGATACTATAAAAAATCCACAAGTTAGTTTCAAGAGAACGACATAATTGTTGTATATATATTATATAAAAATAAATAAATAATTACATACTTGACTTACAAGGTTGTCGTATCCCGATCGATCTCGTACAAGTCTTTGCACTTGGTTTGTAAGCTGATTGTTGATAGTAAACGTTACATTACCATTTGAACCTGGTACAAAATTGACAAGAGATGTTGCTTGTTGAGCAGGTTGATGATGTGAGCCAGAAGTTGTGCTGTTATAGTCATTTCGGCGACAAACTTCCATCATCTGTACACTAGCCTTCACATTATTGCAATGTGCATAATCCACTAAATGTGCTAATCTAACGAATGGGTGATTTAGTGCCTCACCCGGTGTAGTCCGTCTTTCCTGTAAAAAAATCATTCATTGCAAAACGTTTATGGAAAATATTTTTCATATTTAACTACTGTTTTGTTGAATGAAGAGAAGAAATAACTTAGTTATGAAATAATTAAATATTGCTACCTGGTCCATTGTCAACATCCTCTTGAGGAGATCTATAAACTCCTTCCTGTCAACCTTTTCGGCCAACAGCTGTCCGCCTTCCAGGTCGGTGGGCACATTTACTTGCCCAATATCGTCTAAACAATTGAAAATGTACTTCCTCGCCTCCTTCGACTTGATCCCCGTCTCAGCCTCGTGTTCTTCCGGAGTTTTCAACCTCCAGAACGGATAAGTGCTGTCCATATCCCTGTAGAAAAACTTGGTGGTTTTCGACGCGTTATTCAGCATGTGCTCTGTCGGCAGTCCTTGAGTCTGGCTGATATATCTAATTTGGTCATATTCCGACGATCCGGGATACAGTGGCCAGCCGAGGAATAATTCCGCGACAACGCAACCCAAAGACCACATGTCGATGGCTTCGCAGAAGGGTAAGCCGAGGATGATTTCGGGTGCGCGGTAATATCGCGATTGCAAGTAGGTGTTACACACTGCTTTGCTAACGTGACTTGCACTTCCAAAATCGATGACTTTCACTCTGTACGGCTGCCTTACGGGATCCACCAACATAATGTTTTCTGGCTTGAGATCGGCGTGGATCAACCCCAGTTGCTGAAAGTACCAAACAGTTTAGTCTCCCCTTTTACCGAGGAATTCAAATAGCCAAAGTTAAAATTGATTCTGATCACAACAAAACCGAACCGTAAACAAGTCGTTGAAAGACAATTTATCGGCGTCGTTGGATAAAGACATCAAAACAGTGCTAAAGTTCCGTAAATATTTACTCCATAAATTCGAACAGAACACAAGACGTTTCCGCTCCGAACCGCAGCGCTGTCGATGATCAATTTTAACTGCAAGCTTTCGACGTTGACGAAAGTGGAAACCTTTTTACGGACTTACCTTCAATTTTAGCAACGCCGTCAGCACTTGTTGTAAAATAGGCCGGATGTATTTTAGCGGCAAGGGGCTGAACTTGTTTTGTTTCAGAAAGTCGTAGAGGTTCTGCTCCAGCATTTCGAACACAAGACAAGTGTGGTTCTTGTGTTGGAAGCACTCGTATGCTCTGACAAAATTGAATTCGTCGGCATTTTCCTGACTTAATCTGGATAGAATGCTGACTTCTATTTGGCCCTGTTACGACAAACAATTTTATTATAATTATGTACATATTATCACAGTGATACAATTTCTAAATTAATTTGTAAATTATTGACAAATACATTTTGAAGAATACACGATGCATCCTGTCGGGTTTGAAAAGCAAAGTACACACAGTGAATAATATTGCACAATAACGAAAGTGTATTTGTGAATCCCGATCAACATTGGAAAGAAAAATAAATTAAAAATGATTACTAAACCTAAAACATTGTTTGAGTTGTTTTTAAAAACTTAGGCTTAAAATGTTTGCAAAATGTTGAATCACGATTTCAGGTATCGTCCATTTATTTATTTATGGTGGAGGAAAGCGACTAATGTTTTATTTAAATATTGGTATGTTTCCAGAAGCTCTTCAAGTTGCAGAAACACTTAAAATGTGTAACATAAATAGGAAGTCGGTGTTTAGACGGCTCCTACACGCAATTGAGAAACAACGGAATTAGAGTTAGCTGTGATTTTAAGACTGCGGTTGACTAGCATTTCGCTTTTGAATGAAACAGCGGCGTAGTTTTCGGTTGTGACGTGTTAAAAATTAACGAATTAAGTAAAGACGAGTTATTTATTAATGATTACAGTAAGGTTACACCTGTCGCCTGCACCGGTCTTAACATAAACAAACACATTTTTGGTCGCTGGAATCAATAATATGCTTATTAAATATGTAGAATTTTGCCGAAAATATCGTAAAACGGTGCTACCCGCTACAAAACAATTTATGAAACCCACGTTCGATAACACCTTATCATATCTCCCCAGTCACCGTATCGACTGCAGCTGCTCTTTTTGCGATTCTGCCGCCTCATGACCAACTGTATCTGTATACGTAGAGCAAATATGTGGCTTTATCCTTAGCGATGAATTATAAATTTGGTCGCAAAACTTTATTGGTATGCAAGTATATTGTGCCTGTACTGTCACAGCAGAAAACTACATGCAAAACATTAGAATTCGCTATAATTCTGCACAGACGGCTCTAGCAACTGTTGAATCATTTGAGCCCCTTTTAAAACCGCATATATCAAAACATAGTGTCAACGGCTTTTGAACTAAATGCAATGATTTATTTTTTTTTACATAATAAAACCACAATTGCTCCACTGGAACCTCAATGCATAATAAATAACTAGCAGATAGATCGTTCTCGAATACCTACGCTAATAGGACGCTTCTATGCAAATGTATTCAATCATTGTAAGCAAAAATACAAGGACACTTAATTAAAACTCAACTACCCATGGATAGCAATTTCACACATTCCATTCTATATACATATGTATTTTTCAAACTTATTTTTGAAAAAATTCAAACCAAAATTGTTATATTTGTCTTATTAAATTTCGTCTGTGTCACTCCACTGACGATTGACAGTTTTTATGCAGATGAAGTTGGCCATGATCAGCGTTCATCATGATGTCAGTGTATTTTGAGGTTAAGATGGAGATCACGTGACGTGGGTTGATGACATTCACGCCAATTTGTTTTAACCGTAAAATACCTTGACAGCATGACACAACACAGTTCCCATAGATACAGTTTTTATTGTTTCTTAAAACGCAGTATTAAAATTTTATATTACCTCTATGACTCGGTTGCGTTTTTAGTACAATAAATTACGTTACTTTGGAAAAACGATTGTAGTTGTGATGGTAATATTTACCTGTCTGGCGTAAGAAGGATGATTTTTGAGTATTTTAATGGCGACGATTTCATTGGTGCCTTTTTTCCAGCACTTGACAACTTGTCCGAAGGTACCTCGTCCAAGAAACTCAAGCACCTCATACTGGTTCGCCATAGAGTATAGCACCTCATGTTGTACAAGTTGATAATCCCCGTCCGCGCCACTGCCAGAACCTAGAGCAAACAAAATTATGAAGTATGGTTCAAAACATACGATAAATCGATAAACGTACGGAGGAGCATATGGCAACTTTTAAACAAATAAAGACCTATGTCGGATGCTAGAACGAAACGCGCTTCAACAGGAACAAATTTTGCTGTTAAATTAGAAATGGTGTTGATCTTAACAAGCGCCTACCTATTGTAATAAAACCAACTTATGTAAACCCAAGCCGATATCTTATTACGATTTACAAGAACAGCACAGTAAAGCATTAGTCACTCCGCTTTGCATTAATTTTTATTGTTTGTTTTTCTGGCCGCAATCCGAAGTGTGTAATAAAATATCGGTATTGCCCAAGCTGCTTACATATCTCGGTTTTATTTTCTAACACCTTCCTTTCGAAGTTCCATCTATTTTTACGCGACTAGACTGTTCGAATAAAGTTTCGTTTTCAACGTCTACCACTATACACCCAAATCGTCAAAACATCAACACAAAACATCGATATATTTATTACTCGAAAAATCGCAATGTTAGTTATCTCAGCGCATGCAGCAGCAATTGAAATTAATTAAATTAGATAATGGTTGACGTGAACTACTATAATGCAACAAAGAGTACACTCGATGACAAAATGAAAAAGATAAAAGATACCAATCCCTGTTGATTGTAGATGTTCAAATCAAGCATTTGTATTTTCTGGGGTGATCTCAACCACAGCATATTATAGCTTCTAGGTTCATTATTCGTTTGCTTTGTCATAAAATCAGATCGAGCGCAGAACGTGCCAATTAAATGATGTCGGCTCTTAATGATGCGCCGTGAATGGTGAACGTAGTGTCATCTTTATTATACTGTGGCTAGACATAATCGAATGTTTGTAAAAAAAGTTTCATTACATTTTTTCTTACCTTGCGGCTGGGGGTTCGCCCCCGGAGCCGCTGTAACCTTGCTGTGGGCCGTCGTGGTTGCTGAGCTGCTGCAATCTGTATTGGAAACAGCTTCGCTATCACCATTACCTTCCTGCGACCAGGCTTTACGCTGCAACATCAAAACGGAACTCCATCAGGACTTGTTTCATCGATTCGTATTCAAGTAATTCATCTTAACTTGGACGCGCGATCGAAAACGACAAAAGTGTGACACACGTTTCGAAAAATGTGACATTTGTACGTGCTCGAATTTCATCGCGATCAAAAAAGGAACTTTGTGAACATCGCCGGCGAAAAAACAAAACGGTAAAAATAGAAACCGAGTATCGTGATACAGATAAAACAGAGATTAAGTAGATTTTAGTAAAAACGTTTGCTTATTGTGCGATTCATTTCGAACTACCCAAGTTGGGGTTTTGGCATCGCGATCCTCTCTTCTGGCGATCTCACCTTTTGGCCACAGCGTTGGTATGTGTCTAAAAGTTTGATAGTAGAAGCACGTACGAACGGTTGCTGACTACTTGGACTTGCATTGTTTAAGTCAGTCTGACTAAAATTAGTCACTGCATACACTGACTCCTGCGGCACGAAAGCTGTATCACCTCCGTTGATATTGTTGTTGCTGTTGGTGCTGTTGCTATTGTTATTATCGCTGCTGTAATGCTCTGCTTTGCGCTTTTTTGGTTGCACCGCCCCGCTGCTGCTGCTACTCGTGACCAGTTGCTGGGATTGGATGAACATGTCATGCATTCCCTGAAACAAGAGAAGAAACTACTTAACACACGTCTCTCAAATATTTAACATTGTTATTCAACGCGTAGACGGTTGCCACCACTAATAAAGAATAGATACCGACCACGTTATTATCAAATCAATGTTTAAATTGTCCATTATCCGGAGAATAACATTCAATACACGCAATTTGTAAGACAATATGGTTTTTGTGGCGAAAATATAACACTGTTAGAACGAAGTAAACAAGGTCACTTTTTATAAATTTACATGTATGTTCTTGATTTTAAACGTGATCAACAGCAGAAAAGGAAATTTACGTGTGCGATGTTACCAACTCCTTAATGCATGGAATACAAAGATGTTATATTGAGTGAATTTGTCTAAACACCGCCTTTGCCAAGAAGTTATTTCAAGTGCAAAATCAAAACAGTTAAAAATTTATTTTCGAGCTCCCAAGGAAATCGTGAAAATCGTACGGCACATCAAAGAGAAATTCCCTCATGCAGCGAGTGATGTGCAATATTATAAAAACGTGACTATATAATGGCAAGTTTCCCATTATTGAGAAAACGTTAGTTAATACCTTGTCTGGAAACCTATTATTATTCCGACGCAGTATATCTGTCGATCATAAATATTTTTAATCCGAAAATTTTATAAATATCGTAACAGAATTAGAACTCGAAGTTAGCAGGTCGCGTAACATTATTCCAATTTTTAAATTTGTAAATAATTTTGAGAAAATTCAACTGCTAACAAAAATAGTTTCTCGTCGGTCATTCGACAATGATAAACGTGGTGCGATAAGAACTGCCAGTCAAACTAACATTCTTTAACTGTACGTTGGCTGAATATCCATTCGATCTACCAACGAACTTTAATTATACTTTTGGGATAAACATTCCGCCACATGGTGTACTTTCCTGAAACTTTCATTATTTTTAGATTAGTTATCACGTTTTATGTATGCTCTGTACTTTTATTTTATGATGACAAAACTCTAATTTTGTTTCACGTACAAAACCAACAACTGGCGCCTTCCTCAACCCACCGTCATTACGGCGCTGTACAAATGGCAGACGAAATTCCGACAGAGATAATGCTTCTTGAAATAATGATTAATTACAGTTGCCACAAGTACGCAAGGAAAAATGCTCGGAAAATCATAGCAATTTGTTCACGTTTCAAGAAACCACCGAGGGGTCAAAGTAATTAAAAACGAATTAATTTCGTCGGTATTCTTACTGGATAAACCAAAGTCCAGAAACGAATTAATCAACCGTAAGCTCTACGTCCCACGAGTTCGGAGTGGGTTATTTCCAAACTATTTTTTTATAAATCGCACTAAAATAGGCATCCTTATTGCGTAGGGAGAAATTATCGCAAGTCAAACTCACAACAATAGGACTTCCATTTTTGGAGCGGCGTAAACACGTCAATGTATTAATATGTATAACGAAACACAAACGGTAGCCAAAAAAACAATTATATAGTCAAACAAAATATTCTTTTTTGCTAAAAAACAACAAAAGCATAAATTCTTAACAAGCGACCGTCGCCAATTCGGACGTATTATTTAAAACTAAATAGACATTCATGAAAATGCAGACCGTGGATTATTATTAGCGTTTCATTAAAATTTTTGACACACGTGTTTGTGAATACATACTTCGGAAAATCGCATAAACTTCGTTCCAAATTTATATTTAGCGCAATAAAAAATCTGTTTACTGTTTAAAATGATTATGACAATATCGCCGTTCACTGACGCATTTACGAATAAATAATACGTTCGCCGTGGATAATAAATCAGCGAAAAACTGATTACTGATTACGATTTGAAACAACGATATTGTAATATATTCCAAAGGAATGTCGCAAATGAATTGCAGGTCACTCTTGAAATTTCACGCTTTCTTCACGTAAGTTTTGTTTTTTGGATACACATTCGGATTAGTAATACGCACAAACAGCGTTGTGAAATTATTGCGTATGTGCAATCTAGAGCGAGAGTTTGCTAAAGCTACCTACACAAATTAAAACTTAATAAACTTGAATAAAAAATGTCTTTATGACTATATATTTTGGACACGTGTAAAACCATAGCAACTAATTAACTTCTGCGAACGGTTTAACTTTACTCATTCCATTACGTGTAACAAACATCTCTCAAATAACAATTATTGATTTTATTATCTATCCGCTATCGAAAAAAGACCATAAAACAATACTAATCAATCCGTATAGACACAATTCGCTACAATCCTATTGACAACATAATTCCATCTGCGAGATGCCATCCTATCCAGAAATTTCATTTTGCTTTTATCTTCTTTTAGAAAACAGTACACAGTAAATATTTTCTCTACGCGATTGAATAAAATGCTTTTCCGATAATAATTCCTTCATTTGATTTAGTTTTCTTTTGAAAACGTTACAGAAGCTAGATAAATGGACGACGAAACCTGAAAGGTGAAAGAAGGTTTTTCCATAAATATACACGAATTTCAAAATGAATGGCGCCTATCGATTGTATTGTCATTCTGATAGATGGTTTGTTTGGATACTTGAAAATATCGAAACTTGACTAAATAAGAGAAACGTGTGTACATTCTGCTCGGTTGGAGATATTTACTTTCAACTTGATTGTTATCACAATAATAATGTTCCAACTTTATAACAATCGGAAATTCTTATTCGAAAAATGTAACCTCAAATAAAAGAACCAGTTTCCCGTTACTATTAATTAGTATTATCTTTTAAGATAGTGGGTACATCATGAAGGTACGTTAATTTCATGAATATTTCAGCATTGGTAACTAGTTCTAACGGTTGTCTGTAAAATGTTGTCAGCGTCACCTACGCAGAATTGTAACGTCTTGTGTACAGCTATAAGCGAGAAAATTTTGAAGTAAAATTTCTCTCTTGCTTACACGCAACAGACTGTTGTGACAGCAAGCTAAAAAAGCTTCCATCCGCAATTCGTATCTAGCACAAACAAGTTGTTTTGAACAATGACTTTATTCTTTAACAACCTCTATAAACATTAAAATGATAACATGGTACAAAAATTAACAATAAATATGATACTAGTCGTGTCTATCGTTCCGGAGGCACGTAATAGAGGCGCCGTCGAATAACAAACATGGTATTTAAAGCCTGTCAAGATAAAAGTAAATGTAAAACCGAACGGCAGCCCGCTGATTCCGTAGATTAAAAATGGAGACAATTTATATAACGCAAATATTATAAATCATTAATGTTAATAACTTCAACCGGAATTTCTCAGCAGTTCCGCTTTTATAAAACTCCATAGCTTGTGCAATCGAATCAAATTTTACTAATGAAAAAAACTCGGGTTTTACTCCGGTCTTTAACATTTATTTTCGGCTGCGCAATTAATGACTACACCATTCTAATTCACGGACGTTTCAGGTGATTTAACCATCCCAAACACGCAATAGTTCGAGGTTTGTTACATATTATAATCAAACATTCTCATTAGTAGGCAGTATATAGTAAACATAATCTTATTAAAAGCAGTTTCCAACGAAAGTTCTAGAATTAATTACAAATTACTATTATTAATGTTTACAGTGATAAACCAATTTGCGATTTTAAGTGTTTTGGGCGGTTTCCAGGCAACATATTTGGAAATGTCACAGATATCACAGTCAATGTATTATCGACGTAATGATCAACGTGATATTTGACGTATATAAAACGTGAGCACGTATTATACACCTTTTTGGAAAAAGATAACAATTGATCTGTCAGTTTATTTGTTTGGATATTTTGAATTAACGTCCACAAGAAAAAACGTAAACAATAAACCTGAAATTTTTAAGTACCTACTCAAAATGAAGAGATAAAATAAAAACGATGTTGTCGTGAAGGTTTGTATATTTAGAGATGACATACACAACGATTATATGCAACTCAAAACGTCAAAATATTTTTTACTAAACACTACCACTGGTATAATTTGTTCCATATTCAATATTTCGTCAGAGTGTTATCGTGTTATTAGGTGAACTATGACAACATACCTAAACATTGTAAACAAAATGAATATAAGTTGCAGGAATGCAACACAAATAAAAGACAACCGCCATATTATTAAAAATCGATTAGGTTATCAAATTTTGTGACTTGGAATAATTACAGCTTTAACTGTTATGAAATATATCATCGACTTGACGAACTCTGTGGCATGAAAATTTATAACCCAGATACTGACAACTACGTAGTATTTATATTTTATTTTGCTTCGACTGTGACACTACTCGTGTGTAACAACGATAAAAAATTGCTGTGTATAATCTCGCTAACAATTCTTTTGTTACGACTTACGTATCAGAAAATGTTAAAAATGCAGAAAAAAATAAACGAGGCAACAAAGTTTTCGCTGGAATTTCAAGGAGGAAAACGTAAAAAATGCAAAAATCTATTTTTACATATACACGAATTAATAGTTTAACATTTAAACCACTAATAGCCATTTTTATGGGTCAACTTTATTTCTGGCAGTGCTTACCACACACAGAATAATTTGCATTCGTAAATAATGTCAGCAAAATGCAAACCGCTACCTAATAAAAATAACTACAATACGAAAGAAACCACAACTACATCTATCTGGAATATAAAAAGTGTGCCACATTGTAAAACTGCTTGATTGTTCAACAACGGTTTTAACTTTAACGTCAACTAGACCAAAGCCGGTAGTAAAATTGGAACGCTATTTACACAAACATTGATAATTTGGAAAATCCGGACTTTGTACATTTAAATACTTTTATTTAAAACATACACAACATGAAATTATCCTCGAACTACGCCAAATATGCTTACTCGTTGAACAAAATATGCCGTAAACAGTCATCACCTGATTAAATATATATTTTATTAATCATACACATACGGGCAATAGTTAACTACGTACTTATACGCGGTTTATTTATTCTACGGCAAAAACAAATCGCGAGTAAATATTTTTCACCAATTATATTATATCGAAAAAAATCATTTTCAAAACTTCCACAAAAAATTGCTCATTATTTATCCACCAATAAACATCTACATTATCTTTAAGACTGATTACAATAAAATAAATCTCAGTCAAAATAACAACAAAAATGAATAAAACGTTGGCGACTACCCTATACAATATAAGTAATAATCCGTATATTCCGAGTTCTATTGATAGCATCGAACGATATAGTTCCATAAGTAAAGAAGTAAACTTTATTACACCAGATGAAATATTAAAACCCCGCAATATTTTATTAATAACGCGGCATGAAAACCGTTTCTATACATTTCGAGACCGACTTATATATTACTCGTGCACTTTTCAACATGCGGTATTGAAGTTATTTTCCCGACAATACTATTCCTGAGTAAATTTCCTGCCATTGAAAACGAATACGTTTGAATACTGGATTTACTGTATACGTGAATTCTAATATTAGCTGTGTAACTGGCTTTTGTATCTCCCCTTATTTTGTATCCCATAACGACAGCCGTATAAAAGATCACTTAAAATTTAATGGATACAGTCTCTGAATAATATCTTTATACGAACGAAATAAAAACGTTATTACTACGATAATAAATATTAACTTAAACGAGACGGATAAAAATCAAATCTCGTGGAAAAATAATCATCGCGATACTGATTTTTTCCCAAAATTACTGCCGTCTACGTTTGATGTTTGACTGCGGGCCAAATATTAACACCAATAACTCTTTTCGGCTTTTAAAATTTTCAGATATTTTCAAGTTATGTGAAGTGCAGCTTTCATTTTTATACTGTTTAAATAAATCAAAAACTGGATTGTCAAAAATGTACCAATTTTTATTGAAGAAAAACTTAAAATAAAAAACAAGCTTGTAAATCACCAAACGGAATAAGATATTTTTAGATTGCGCGACTGAAGTTTATCAGAATTCAAATGTAATAAAACATTTTTTCAACGAATAGCAGCAAATGGGTAATTTTCAGTCATCGGAACTTTGCGACATCTGGATTTCCAAGCTTCCAAATAAAATTGTTTCTTTAAATTTTCACAGCGTCTGTCATCAAAATCCAAATCGGTTGATTTTTTCTGTAGGAGCTTTTTTCTAGACAGAATGCGTGCTGTGTGATAGGTGTTGACGTACTGACGTTACTAGACCAGAATTACACGATAACAAAAATGACGATAGCACTTTTTGCGACTGTCGGTAGTTGCATTGGGTAATTTAAAAAATGCTGTTCGTTCAGAATCTGAACAGCAAACAATGCGGACCTCCTATGTGGGTCACCCTATACCCAAATAAGCATACAAGCTGACAGGAGTTTGTTTACTTGGGTTGAAACCTGCCCCGTGTTCAATTTAGCTACGTTATTTTTAGCTTTATTAACAAATAAAGCACTATAACTAATGGTGGCTGGTAATTTTAGATCCAAATTTCCTAATTACAACTAATTTTCACCAATCAAGCATCTTCTGGCTGTGTGTCGCAGTCTACAATGTGTCACAAATTTGCAACATATGTTTTAGTCATGATTTCCACTTGTGGTAGCAGCCGCAAGCTCCTTACTCGATTTCCCCAGAGGACTATTGCAACAAGTTGTCGGTTTCCTCTTTTATCAACAAATAGCTAACAGTTAGAAGAAATGCGATTTTCGTTGAGTGTTTCGTCGTAATCAGCAACTTGCCAAGAACTATTTTGCCAAGTCTTGCAAAAACAACTTCCAACATCGATCTAAGGACGTTTGAGAGAAGAGGCCCCCGAAACTGTTAGATAACGATCTAATTTAATTACAGTCAAACTTTAATGTTCTAGTTATCTCTAATTCCCGGTACGGGCTTACGCAATAGAGGCAATAACAATTATTGTGTTTGTGTTCATGTTTAACGGCGCGATGTTTGTGTTGAATACTCGTCGTAAACAGGCCCAACGTATCCATATGGCACAGTTCCCGTGGATTTCGGGGCGCAGTTCTAGGTTATAGAGGACATTTCGGGAGATCGGGTGTCGTGTTTATGGTGGGTTCGCAGGAGTCGGCGGGGTTTATGGAGGGCGCGGGGAAGGTCGAAGCCAGTCTGGGTTTCTGAGGCGAAGAATTGAAGAGTTAGTGCGTAATTCCGAGGACGAGGCCAGCAAGGTGCGATTTTCGGATGGGAGTCGCCAAGATGTCGGCGGCGGCGCCGCGACGGCCGAGGCGGCAGCCGCCGCGATATATTTAACCGTCTAACGTAGCTTTACCTCTCTATCCTCCTTTCTTGGGCAAACAGCTCAACTTTCATGCTGACATACGGACAAAGAGGTCCTTCAAAACCCAGCCATCTTGGAATTACGGACTTGTTTTCAGTTTGTTTACAGTCGGATTTTTCGAGTCCTCACCACCGTTTTGCACATCCCCCATCCACGCACGCAACCACACTCATCTTCAGCACACTAAAGTACCGCACTTGATCACTTCGGCCGCACAATTACACCATATTTCGCGTTTTTCTTCATGCTGTGCCACACACGTCCACTTCGAGAATCTACGTATTCGCTCTGGTTCACGCGGTGGCCGCCAGACGGCGCTGCGGCTTTATTACAAATCGGGGACGAAAATCGAAAATAAGTGGGTTGGCGGCGGTATTTGCGTCTTCACTTGCCGAAATTCCCGAAAAACTGTCCGCCTACGGGCCGTCGCCGCCGAAACTGGTCCCGCGACACCGCCAATTCTGCAACGTTGCACCGCCGCTGCGAAAACAATCGAGCAACAAGTGCCGTCCCGCCCCTGTCACCTAATCAAAATTTTACCAAAAACGGAAAACGACGGGCCGAAATTTAAATTTAAACGCGCCTGGGCCGAGTCTTCGCTGTTACGTGGAAATGGCTCGAGTTACGGTCACATTCCAGTTCGCACGCCGCCTTTTCGAAATGCGTAGTTTTTCGTTTGTTGCTTTTATTCAGACGGTTTCGTTTTAAAAGTGCACTTTCACAATATTATTCACGGTTGGCACAAGGAGACGGGTGAAAATTGTGTCAGTTCGCGGCTACGGCTCGACGAAATTGTAATTTTAGAGCGACCAGATGTCAGTTGTACGCCTGCTCTATAGATAACCCACCTTGCGCCGCGTGAATGGTGTTGTCTAGAGTGCAGGCAACATGACGTCATGGTGATTCATTCGAGGAATTCCCTGTTTGTAAAGTGGAATATAACAAAAACGTCTACCTCAAGCCGGTAATTAATCATTGGGGCTACGTGAAATTTGCATGTGGAGGTTTTATCAATGTTACTCAATTATTGCTCGGAAAACTCAATATCCCTAGGAAGTTTTTCACCAAAGCCTCAAAAACTTTAGAATTTTATTTAATAAGAGCAAAAAATTGCATGTTCGTGGAACACGATATGGAAGAATGGTTTATCAGAAATTTTTGCACATATTGGACACTGAATATTCATGGATGGACCTCCGACATTTTATAATCTGGCTATGCAAAAAAATGCAAATTTACAGTTAATAAAAATTAAACCCACGTCGATGACGACGAAATTTATTTTTTACAAACACCACTCATATATGTTAATATCAGTTATTTATAAAAACTCGAAGAAATCATCACTACAAGTCATAAAAACTGGTCTAAAATTATATGTGAAAGTATATTCGAGCCAACTAAATAGTGAACTTTGACTTTCTGTTTCCGAAAGGGTTTTATTAAAATTGCTTACCCGAAAGAAACAGAAGTTCTGGGAACCAGGGTGCATGCACACATTTTAGGATGAATGGTCAACGACGTCTAATTCCCAGAACCCTTGATCCTTTCGGATAAGCAAACCAAACGCAGGCAAGCGTTATGAATAATATTCTTAAAATGAGCAATTTATTACAGTATACACACATTTGCAAACAGCAAGTCAGTGTTCAATCAATAAAATATATAAATTGCTTCCCTATAAGCAATCCTAAAAAAATATGCATGCAATGATAAACCACAAGCGTAGACTTATAATATTTTGCACATTTTATGATAACGTCATCAAATTTTTGGAAGGGATATATAGATAAATTTACACTTACTTTTGCAAGTTCTAAGTTACATTGTAAAATGTTGTTATGATATTTTCAATTTGTTCGAAAAATCTAGCTGTCCAAGGTTAAAAATAAAGACGGACTCGTAAACCACAGGTACTGAATTATTTTATAAAATATAAGTCAGATTTATTTGAAAAATATTGAGATGACGTTAGCGTTAGTTAGCGTTTTACCATGTACACGATATTTTTAAAAATTACTTTACGTTTATTCTTCAAAGGGTTTGCTCCCTAAAAAATTTACTGTGCTTGCCTGTCGAGAGTGCTCTTACATGTAGAGTCATCGGCCCCAAAATATAGCCTTGCATTCTTTAAGTTTATGGCATACCTCAGCTTAGTATGTCGTGAATTACACCGTATGAGTCGTGCAAGAGGGAGGAAGGATCATAGCTTCCTTTTGTAACAAACGAATAGAGAAATTTTGTGTAGGTGTTTTAGCATATCGCAGACTAACCACTTAGATAATTAAGTTATTACCTTTAAAAATAATAATAATGACAATGCACGACAGATAGAATAGAGAGACCTGTATTTTCGTGTTCTACAAGCTTGTAATAAAACTAAGAGGAAGTTAGATACTTGTCAAAATGGCTAACAGTAAAAAACAAAAGTATTTGAACTTAAAAATGGCAATTGAAAGAAAAAATGTATGCATTTAACATTAAAAATAACAGAAAAAAGTATAATTATACTATATATTCTATAACCAGGTGATTGTATACCGTCACATAGCAGTTAAACCCACCAAATTCAAATTTTGCCTATTATCTTACTATTCTTCAAATAAAACCCAAACTGAGGTATGTAGTACATTTTGATCGATTTTTAGAAAATTTACGTTAAAAGCTTTTTCATTTTCTTTCTAGTAAAAAGCCAACTGTTAAGTTATTACACTTATTACTACGAACCCATATGACAACATAAATAATGATGTGCCTCACGCATTGATTTTAAAGCCTCTTAAAATATTATTAACATAGTTATCAGTGTGTTATGGATTACAATTTTTATTTATCCGTTGAAGCAATTTGTTGCAAAGTGACAGTTTAAAATACGCCTGGAATACTTTTGAATTTTTCAGTAAATAATCGAACAAGCGCTGGAGGCTGCCGCATGACGTCGTGTCACGTGATCATGTTGCGGTGGTCATGACCGTATATAAAACAATATAACGCTAAATTATCTTGGATATACTTGGGTGGGGACCTACAGTATGGCCAATTTAGATATGTTGTTTTTAGTTTGTGTAGATATGTAAATGGAGATGTATGTAGTAGGTAATTGTAAAATACGCGATAAATAATAATGTTTTAGATAAAGATTAATGTGATAAATAATAAGGAATTGTCAACAGCAAGAATGAATAAAATTTTTCCTTATTATAAATTTTCTGCCCTCATGGTATTATTTACAACAGAAACAGAAAATTTTTAAAAACAAACTTTGAAGATATGCATGCAGATAATAATTTATAATGACATTATTTTTATTCAAAATTAGTATGTCAAAAATTAACTACAAGTAATCGAATTGGATGTTATGAAAATTATAACTCACCGATTCGTCGTTTTCCATCTTAAGATACTAAGAAGTAACTTCACAGAACCACAGTTAAAACAGAAATGAATATTTTGGAAATTTTGGGGTATGTTACATACAACAATTTGGAGGGGGGGGGGTAGTTTGCAGGTGGTTCTAAGCCCTTGCACGTGTAATCCGAACTAAACAAATTATCATGGGCCATTAGACCCGAAATAATATAACATCCTAAGCTTATTTCATTTAGTGTGTCGGCATATTTCAAAAAAGTCCATTATCTAGTTTCTGAAATAAGTTATAAAATTGATTTTTCTCAAATATCATATTAACACTTACAATATATATAGTAGTGTATTATAAAATTGTAAATAAAACACTTCGTATATTTTAAGTAGAATTTACTTTAAAATGACGTCATCAGTTTTTTGTGGAGGATTTGCGTATTTTTGTTAGCGGTTTAAAGTATTGAAAATAAAGTACTTTACAAAGTTCAAAGAAAAAAGTACCGGTGTGTTTCCAATCCGACCTACTCATTAAACAAAGAAAGATTTCGAAAAAGTCGTAAAAGCTATTAAGCGTTGAAAACAAAAACCAAGTAGGTAAATGGAAAGGATACTTCAAAGGATGAAAGTTATGAACCCTTGAAGGCAATAACAACAACAATAACAAAGCAACAACAATAAGGGCTCAATACCCTCCCTCAGAAAATACGACTTATGACTGTAGATACTATTTCCTTGCTTCATAAATTTGTATTTGTTAATGAAGATAATATTTAATTTAGGAATTTCACGGTTATGTACAAGGTGAGTCAGCTAAAAGGAATAACTTTTTTATTTATTAGCGAAAAGTAATTAAATTAATTTTGCAAATGGGGATTTCATTAAGATTCATTCGGTAAAATTTTGACATAACATTATCAATTTTTCAGAGGGGATAAACCATTGATCTAATAAAAGAGTGGATGGAGCCTTGTATACGTTTCCATACGCGAGCGAGTGTAATCAACATAAGAAAGAAATAGCTAGAGCGGTAATGCATCAGTGGGGAAAGGACGGCTGACCACGTATCACGTGCTGGGTGGCAAGAAACGCTTCATTTGAACGGGAACTAATACGTTTTCGTACGAATTTGTTCAAAGAATCAATTATAACAAACGTCTGTTAATGAAAACTATATTTTTACAGTTTACATTAGAATTATGTGTAATGTGAAACAATAAAAATCATGTTAAGTGGTAGAGATAGTCTTTTAATAAAATGAAATGTATACAGAATCTACAATATATTACGAATTCATTTAGTACAATAATCTTCTACGAGTTAACTAATCTTGTAGTGTATGTTCATTGGTAATTCGGAAATTTTTAGGATAAAAGTAATTAAACTTTCAATAAAAATAACAGGGTGCCTAGTTAAATTAAACATATTAAATTGTGTGGAATTTTCTATTAAAATCTATTTTCAAAATCCACGTACAAATGCCTAAAACAACAATCAATAGATATAAAATTCCCTCTTTTTGTAGCAAGAATCCGTTTTTTTCGTAACTCTAAATGTTTAGGAAATCTAACAATTTTTTTAAATTATTTACGAAATCCTTCGTCTGTGTATGTGATTATTACCTATGAAATGAAACAAAATTGCTTTCTTTGCACGTTCTATGCAATTATCCGCACAACACGATTTCACGATGTTTAACAAATAGTCGAATAAAATACAACTTAATAAGACTGTCAACATTTAAATAAGGTAAATTGAGCCTAAAAAATATAAATTTGCAAAAATACACCTTTAAACCCATGCGACAGCACGAAAGAAACCTCCAGAAACACAGTGCTCTGCAGTTTCGCGTCAATGTTTTGCCACCCAGAGAACCCTATCTCTGTCCCACTGTGTTGACAACGCGTGTCTCTCTCTAAGTTACTTCCATATAATATTATTTCTATGGGATAAACAGATACATTGTGATTACAAATTTATCATGCTTATGATAACTTTAAAAGGTCTACAAGATTTCAAAGCATTCGGTTTTACAGTGTCCGATTTGATTAAAAAATAATGTGACTCGTTCATAAATTTTTTTGAATCAGCCTGTATAAGCAGTTGTAACAATTATGAATTGAATGGTAAATCTCATGTATGGATACATTATATTTTCCAATTTTTTCATGCTAATGAGATGTTGCATACATATAACCCATTCGACTTTATAAAATAAATTTCGTTAACGTAGGTTGATAATTAATGAAAAGGTTATTCCAGATATTCTCTTTTAACTAGCTCACCCTGTATATTATACAGGAAATTTTATATTCACAATTTTTCGACAGATTGTTTGCTACCTGAGAAAATAATTTCATTTTAAACAAAAACTAGCTACAAGTATGGAACTGGATGTGATGAAAATGATAACTCACCGATTCGTTG